TGCTCCCACCCCCCATACTCGCTACCATACGCGGACCCCCCGTAGGGCATTGCACTATACGCATGTGTCACATTTGAATGCCCGTACGGAGGCCGCCACTGCGGCTGTGGCGGACGAGGGGAAGCTGCATACCTGTGCTGATGCTGTCCTCCGTAGCCGCTGTGAGGTCCGTACTGAGGCCCACCACCCCAGCCCCCCCCACTCTGTAGCTTGGCTGCTGCGGCGGCGGTCCATGAAGTTGCTGTTGCTGGGGATGCTGCTGTTGAGGCTGCTGTTGCTAATGCTGCTGTTGCTGACGCTGCTGTTGCTCCTGTTTCTTCTGACGGTCGCGTTGAGTGCGGCACTGGGCGTTGGTGTGGGACAAGTGCGGATGTAGGTAGCAGTGGTCGCTGTCGGCTCCTCTCTCTAACAGACTTGCNCTGTTTCTTCTGACGGTCGCGTTGAGTGCGGCACTGGGCGTTGGTGTGGGACAAGTGCGGATGTAGGTAGCAGTGGTCGCTGTCGGCTCCGCTCTCTCCTGCTTTCTTGTTTCCTCTCCCTCTGCTCCTGCTCCGACTCCGGGCGCCTCCGTCTCCGTCCTGTCCCCCGCCGTTTCCACTCGACCCATTTTGGACACGTCCATCGCCCCGGATACCACCGGAAGCGACGAACGCGTGCCCCGCGCCATTCTTTGGTTCCTCCTCCCGACGGCGAAGCAATTCCGCATGGGCATCTCGTACACCCATTTCGATTTTTTCGCGCAAGGGGGGAATCGGTGACATAGTCAGAATCTTCTTCTGCATCATGTACTCGTCGGGAAGAAAGGTGGTAAACCATGTGGGCATTGGCATCTTCGTCGGAGAAAATAACACCGTGCGAGGCTAGCCTACTGCGCAAAACAGCAAATCTCCCGAAGTATTCTTGGGGGGTCTCTCCTACTTTCATCTCAAGACCGTGGTATTGGGATGACAACCTTTCCTTCTCGGCTCTGGCACGCGGCTCGTAATAGTTGAGGAATATTTTCCAACCTCCACTTGGACTACCATCAGCGATGATCTGGGTGAGGATAGGCATGTAGGTTACAGACGTGATGATCAAATTCCACGCCGTGATCGCCTTTTCTCCCGTATCAGGCGAGTGCATTCTACGCAAGTCCTACATGCCTACTCCTTCTAGCCCGACTGGAATTCTGTGGTCACTCAATACCACTTCCCTGACTCCTTCTTGCGCAAACATAGCAATCATGTTCGATCGAAAAATCAAAAATCTTGCCTGCTCATCTTCCCCTTGCCTAAAAATCCCATCCCAAGGCGCTAGGCGCTTAACCTCTGTCAGGCGAATACTTCCTCCTGTACTGGGTACTCTACCACTGTCCCGTGGTGATATCTGCATTCGGCTGGACATGGCGTCTGCGAGAGTGCGGGCGATGTCATCTACGGCCGGGTTCACCGATGGCCGCCCCGCTTGTTGCCGGTGGCGTGCCTCGTGCTCGCTTCCGGTCCGGACGTTCTCTGTCCTCTGCTCCTCCTCGTCTTGTTGCCGCCTTATGTCGGCCAGTCGTTGTTGTACCCTCATCTCCACCAACTCGTTGATGCGGGCGTCCTCGTCTTCTGCGTGACGGGCGCCTCGTTCTTGGTCGGCGCTGGACATCGGTGACAGCTGCTGATCGCCGCAAAGCGATACTCCAAACTAAGCTCGACGCGAATCTCGTAGACGACGTGTCATACGCTAGTGTGATCGATAATTCGGGTGGCTCAGTTGTGTGTGATGGGAGTGTAGAGCAGCTCGGCCATGACGGGCCGTAGGGGTAGTCGTACAGACGTGTGGAAAAACGTGTTGAAAAACGTGTTGGAAAACGTGTTGTATAACGTGTTGAATTCATGGGGGGCGTGCTTGAGCTCGTCATTCCATCACGGCATCAAGTCACGCATAACGTTCAAACACCCAAAACGAATCTCCATGAATGTCCACCAATCTACCACACTCCCAAGGAAACATGACGAAACTTCTTGTTCCTCCGTAGTTCGTCACTGCCAATCCCGCATATGTATACGCAATATACCACCCCCATGCTATGCTACGAGTATGTCGAATACATGCAACACCTGGCGATAGTTCAACACGTACAAAAGAGAAGCGAAAGNCAAAACGAATCTCCATGAATGTCCACCAATCTACCACACTCCCAAGGAAACATGACGAAACTTCTTGTTCCTCCGTAGTTCGTCACTGCCAATCCCGCATATGTATACGCAATATACCACCCCCATGCTATGCTACGAGTATGTCGAATACATGCAACACCTGGCGATAGTTCAACACGTACAAAAGAGAAGCGAAAGGTCTAGCGAGAACAAGAGCAGTACCAACGGTCGACGGCAACAACCTCAGTGACTAATACCTCTGCGTCGACCTCATGTACCAAGAACTCGTCGCAGTAGCCCGCTAACCGCTCGAGGTTTTCCCGTGTGACGGTGAAGCGGGTGAACTTTTGCCACCTGTTGGTCACCACCAGAAAGTCTCCCCGCTCCAGACCCCCCGGACGTCTTCGGCAGCTGAGGTCAAGCACTAGCCTGAAATTTAGACGCAGGAAAACTGTAAGTTCGAGCCGTCCAAACGTTTTTTGGAGAGCAAACGCTCAAGGGGAGACGACGCAAACGAACACATCACCGGTTTGATACGCGGTAGCTGTTGGATGTTACGATGTCAGCCGACATGCGACAGAACTGCTTAGGCGCCACTATAGTAGACGCTAAGGTTAAATAGTGCAGGAACAAGGCTTGATTCAAACCAAGGGCACTAGACGTGGCTTAGTCTGGCACAGCCCACGGACGACATCCACATGTAATAAGAACAAGATAAGTTGCAGAAAAGGACTCCTACGCGCAAAATCATCAAGGCCTCGGCGTAGCGGATACAGCCCGTTTTGGGCGGCTCACCTGTCCTTCCCTACGACGGTTCGGAGCACTTCCAGCCTCTCCCAGTCGATTTCCCCGTCCTTGTTTCGGTTCACGAGGGACGCGAAGTATGCAAGCAGACACCGTCGCACGAGCAACGAGGAACAGCAGTGCTCTCGAGAGTCGAAACGGAGGGATATTCAAACAACAACAGAGAGGGCTTGACACACTTGTTCGGTATCATCGGTCCCAAAAAACAAGCTCAAGGCCGGATATCAGCACGTGCAAACGGGTCAAACCATCAACCGAAACAATTCAGGTAGACACTCTGCCTCGTTGGTGCAAGAAAAGTGGGCTTTGACATCAGCAGTGCTGTGACTTTGCTAAAACGTGTAACCCCCAATACCAGTCGAAAACGAAAAACAGGAAAGGACGGGAGCAAAACGCTAATCTTTCGAATATTTCCACGGCGAGAGCAATAGCACCAACACCAGCAATCGTAAACACTGAATCGCACCTTGACGACGTAGCTCGTGACGATCACGTGGCTAGCACCCGCATCGAGATATTTCATGGCAGTAGAAGGATTAACGCCCCCACCGACTTGCAAGCCACCAGGAAACGCCCTGTATTTCGTCCGTGGACGGCAAAACACACAGTTGAGGGAGCGAGGTTCCTGCAACCGCTTAGAATTTCGCCAACGAGTTGACCGGACAATGGCAGCAGTTGGAGCTTCGCTCCGTCCTACAACTACCATATCCAATCGCTACCGCGACCTTCGATAACGCGCGAGGTTCAGCTCAGGGTCGTGGTTGGTTCGCTCGTCGCACACAAGCAAGGCGGTAAGGGCTTCCCGCGGACGATTTGTACATGAATCGTCTCTATTGGGTCTAGCATGTGTTGACCACAAATGCGAGGGACTCAGCTCCAGACTGGACACACGTATCTGAGGGAGCACTTCGTAGAGAGCAAGCAGATAAAGGAGCACCGACCAGACCTTGTGCTGACTGTTGTGGTTGTAGGTTTCTGCTCGGCCCGAAACATTTGCCCACTTGCAAGCAACGGTTGGAAATACTACTCCTTCCGTCACATCGGCTGACAAAACGTGGTTTCTTACATGGAAAGAAAACTCAGCCGACTACAGGTGGACGATATACTTGACAAGGGTGGGATATGAAGGCGCACTAGGCGATTTCGAGTGGTGTGAAAAGAACAGCGGGTCAGCGTCAGCAACGAAGCCGCTTCTAGCTTCCTCGGCTTCACGACAAGAGCAGACGTGTTCGGCTATGGGTCTACACGATTGTAGTGGTGGGGGTAAGTGTAAACCTGCACACGAGCAACACGCAGGATTTGCGTGAGAGGGTCGCCATTGACACAAGACCAAGAGCACAGCTCCCCCTGAGGGAAGCTGAGGACCTCGCAACTCACCTGCCACCTCCACGTGACGTTATCAGAGCTGTCCAGCTTGCACGCGGCGAAGTCGGTCCCGGCGTCGTCGAACGCGAGGTCTCCCACTAGCACGCCGCCTTGCTGATCGACGGCGATAGCCTCGGCCAGTCTGGAAGCGTTGGTATCGTCGTCCTGGAAGCGGTCGTCCGTGAAACCGCGGAAGCAAAAGCGGAGCTAATTCTCAAAAACCGACTTCGCGGATTTGTGCTCGGCCTTTCTCGCCCTCGAGGTGGATGTAGCTACTACGGTTTGTCGGTGAGTAAGTGCGTACCAAGCTCACTCTCTGGCGTGTGGGGCTGGCACATCCAACACGAAAGCCGGCCTGGTCATTGCGGGAAGGACTCCCCACTGAGGTCGCAGCATGACCGCTATTTAGTCCAGATTTTTTTGTATTTCCTGCCATCGCGCCATCTGTCTCCATCTGCGTGCCACTCTCCTCGCCAGGGTTGTCTACCCTAGAGCAGCATCGCCCACGGTGAGTGCGATAGAAAAACGCGCTGATCATCGCCAACTGCACCTACCTTCCACTGCCACAGCTGACGACCGTCGCCCGATAGCTTCATGACCTCAAAGTGGAACGAGGCAGATTCTCCCCCTGTTGTCGAAGAATTCGACGGTGATCTCGAGCTGGTGGCTGAGCTCGTCTGAGCATCCAGCGCCAAAGCTATTAACCTGTCTTCCCCGGTTGCGACGGCGGTGACGCTGTCGTCTCCGCTCCCGCCTCCCTGTCGCAAGAACAAGCCAGGTATATTTAGTATCCTCTTTTACATTTTTCTGGGGACGCAATAGAAATAACGAGACTCTCATCGGAAGGGACCACGAGGTAGTTGATGCTACAGCAGGATATCCTAGTCCAGTTTCAGGCAAAAGGGGGCTTGCTTTATCTCCCGGCAGCCGCGATTGTGGTAGTTGGTCGATCGATGCCTCATGAGACTGCTGCTGTCCAAAGCAGGGTAGGTTTCGAGCGAACCTGGATACTCCACAGCTCGTTCCCGCCGCTGTCAAGCTTCACCGCCATCCAGTCCGATCCCCCCGCGTTTTCTGCCGCCCATTCCCCCAACGTGACACCTGGGCGTCAAATGTGGCGCCCGGGTGCCCACAATCAAGTACCGTCTTTACGCACTCATTGTCGCTTCGCTTGACTGCCAGGATGCGGCAGAGTTGCACCAGCCCAACCAATACCGCGGACATATAGCTATACTCCGCCTCCTCCAATTCAGCCGTCATACGTTGCAACTGCACCTGCCTGCGAGAATAGCGGTTTTACTTGAAGCGCTCTCCGGGCCCCGAGAACAGGCGGTCAGAGAGTCTTCGGCAGCAGTTCCGTTCTGCGACATGCGAAATTTGACGGTGGAATAGGAATAGTGTGGCGACGAAGGAGAACGCGACATAATGTTGCTTCACTGCTGTTCAGACCATGCTGACCTCTATCCGGTGCCTCTGTTTCTGCAGCTGCTTGTAGCGGAAGTCCTTAGTCTCAGCACAGCCACACCAAGCACACACGCGAGCTACCTCACGACTTACGATGTTGCAGGTCTCGAACGCACAAAAAAATATCCCGGAGTCGAGAAACAGTCAAAACAGCGGGTGCTGAAAATCGATCTTAGGGGTCATCGGAGTCCCGACCAAAATTCTCCGTCAGCACGGGCGCTATGGAGCTCCGGAACGCGTGATGATAACCTTCATAATACGTCTGCTGTTCGGGCTGTGCTGCTGTCTGAGGCTGCAGCTGCTGTGCGAAAAGCCCGGGGAATCTCTCTTGGGTCTTGATCAATCATGTATCTGCGGTGCTCGCCTCCACACAAACTGCAAGACTGCAGCAGGTGGCCTTAGAAACGAACAAACGTTGGGGGCTCGCGGTGGCGAGTGAGGACGCGTCAAAGGGTATTGTTTGGATCAGATTACCTGCGGAGTATTTGAACCCATACATACGCGGCCTCTTCGATACCGCACGGCGTCAGCATATAGATCTGGGCGCGCCGACGTGCATGCCGCTGCTTCATGGTGTCCTCCATGCATAAATAAATGCGTTCCAGGTTGGGACTGCACTTAGCCGGAAGATCACTCGATCACTCTCGATCCGTTACTTTTGCTTGTTTCGTTTACATTACAACGAAGTATTCGACAGCGATAAACTACAGCAGCACAAAGCAGCACGGTTCTTTGTATGACCCACTGCTGCTGTACCTGTCTTGACACAGACTTCCGTTTGTATTTGGCCCGGGTTTGATCTTGGATGGATGTAGAACAGTCTTGCTAACCACGGATGGTGGTTGTGCTCGCGGAAAGACGCCGCCTACAGAACTCTGTGTTGGTAAACTCGTGGCTTCTGGGGGAAAGTGTTCGTGGGTGTGCGAACATTGGTGTTGGATACATGTGCTGGATGATTTGGTGTCACGCAGACTGGTAAGATTGCCGTTTGGTAGGGGGCACCGCGATGATTCACGGGGCCCCTCCTTGCTGTGGGGGGCGCTCTTTGAGCACTCCCTCTTTCGTCCGTGTGAAGGACGGTCGTCTACCTCTCGTGAAGCTAATAGACTAGTCTACATCACCAAAACAGTCTCACCCGATAAATAAGTGGCGTACGTCGCAAATACTCTAGTGTTTTTGCCCCTCGAGGGAAGCCACATCGGGATGAGAGCTCTGCCGGAGATGAGGTGCTCACTGCTGCGAGCGGAGAACAGATCCGCTCCCCAGTAGAGGAGGGCCGCGATGCAGAGCTTGCAAGTTTGCAACGGAAGATTTCCTAATTGGCGGCCCTGGTGGAGGAGTCGGTGAAGAAGCAGCCTGGCAGCGTCGTGGCGGATGCAGTCAGTAGTGGTGGCTGGGTTGCCGCCGCGGGAGGACCACAAGCGCCTCCGCTGCCGCTCGGCGGTGGCGGGGGATTTCTCCAGGAGCAAGCAAGAGATAGTGGAGAAGGGCCACGGCAGCTGCTGGAAGGTGGCTGGGCCAGCAGTTCGGGAGCGAACCCTGTCGGACCAGCCGGAGTGTGCCCGGGCATAGGACCAGACTACGAGGAAGCGAGGGGGGTAAACCCCCCAGAGTACCAACAAGCGAAGTTCCTGTGGGAGACAGCAACGGCGCTGGATAGGGCCGAGATCGTCAGAATCGTGAGCACGGTGCACGCGAGCCTTCCGGAGGGGAGAACCGCCTCGAAGGGTCAGCGGAGGGCGGAGCACGCTCTCCTCGCGAGCGACCGTAGCNTTCCTGTTGGAGACAGCAACGGCGCTGGATAGGGCCGAGATCGTCAGAATCGTGAGCACGGTGCACGCGAGCCTTCCGGAGGGGAGAACCGCCTCGAAGGGTCAGCGGAGGGCGGAGCACGCTCTCCTCGCGAGCGACCGTAGCGGTGGGGGCCGCGGCAACGGCGGCCGCCGCATGGGTGGCGGCGGCGGCGGCGGCGGCAACCAGAAGGGGATAGGGGGTGGCGCGAAGGCTGGTGGCAGCAGCGGAGGCGGCGACGACGATGCGGGTAGCATGCGCGGTCGCTGCTTCCGGTGCGGCAAGAAGAGCCACCAGGTGGCCAACTGCCCCGAGAGCAAGCCCGTGCGATGCGAGATATGCAAGGGCTACGGGCACGACAAGAGCAAGTGCCCGACCGAGGAGGCGGTGCTCGTGGTGGAAGTGCCGGCAGAGGGGGCGTCTGCGGACACCACAGCACTGGACGTGGCAGAAGACGCGATGGTGGTCGGTAACATCTCAGTCGCGTGTCACAAAGTCGTTGGTCGAGGGGGTGTAGAGTAGGCTAGGCGGGGTAGGTATGTTGCCGATACCGGCGCTACCACCCACATGTTCGCGAACTCAGATGGGTTCGTTCGTTACGAAGAGTGTGATCGACGTGTGCGCGTCGCCGCCGGAGAAACCTTCCCTATCGTAGGGTATGGCGACGTGACGGTAACCCTTAGCTCGCGCGACGGTACAACCGACCTGTTGTTGAAACGGGTTGCACACGTCCCCCGACTAGACTACAACCTAGTATCTCTCACTTCCCTCTTCGACGATGGGTTCGAAACCAAAACCCTCAATAAACACGAGTTGGAGTTGGAGAGAGGGGGGGGGGGAGTTGGCGTACTGCCCCCGATGCGGTAACCTGTACGTCCAGAACGGTTTCGCACACACACCGAACATGCCTGTGCCGCAATTGCTCCTGGTAACGCGAAAGCGTGGGACGACGCTGGTGGGCGAGCTCCGGGAGTGCCTGGGGTGCTCGACGGCGAAAGGGCTTTCCAAGCCGATCCCCAACAAGACGTCGACCCGAGCAGATAAGAAACTGCAGCGGGTTTTCGTAGGTCTGAGTGGAAAAGCTACACTCTCATTGTCAAGGATGATTACACAAGGTGGAACCGTGTCTATTTCCTGGAGCACAAATCAGACGCAGCTGAGGCATTCGAGAGGTACCTTGCAGAAAACCGGGCAGACGGTGCTCCGTTCGATGTCATGGCCGTGAGGTCCGACAATGGAGGAGAGTTTTTTTAGGGAGAGTTCGGCAAGGTGTGCCGGAAGTACTGCATCAATAGGAGTTCACCCCCGCACACAGCCCAGAATACAACGGTGTAGCTGAGAGAGCACTGGGTCTGATCAAGGATGCAGCACTAGCCGCCCGTATCCAAGCGCCAACTCTTTACCCCGGAGCACCGAACTACCCATCCCTTTGGGCCGAGGCCATAGCTTGGTCATGCAACGCCCTGAACTGCACCTCCACCACATCCAACCCAGAGAAGAAGTCGCCGTACGAGATGTGGCACGGGCACCCTCCCCCGCCGGGGGCGACGTACCCGTTCCTCAAACCTGCCGTATACAAGGTCAAGCGTACACACAAGCCCGAGCCAAAAGCCCAAAAGTGTTTTTGCCTCGGCCCGGGAATCAACAACAACAGTGATTGCGTGCGCATCTTGAACGAAAAACGCCAAGCGATCACAACTCGCAACTCCACCTGGCAATCCGTACCCACCGCCCCCACCGCCCTGCCCCAGTCGCTGCCTCCCATCGCAGAGGAGGAAAAGAAATTCGCGACTGAGGAGAACGAGGTTGGGGAGGGCGCGTCGAGCCAAGGTGGAGGGCGGGCGGAGGGAGAATCAGTGGATGGAGGACCAGTTTCAACCTTGGCACGGCGGCAGCCCCGGGGCCCGCGGGGCCGCCCGCGCGTGTAGCGCCGGCGGCGGCGCCGGCCGCGCCGCAGGAGTCGGGCGCGGGCGACGCTGGCGATGGCGCCCCCTCGAGCAGGGAGGGCCCGAGCGTCGCCCCATCTACCACGTCGACCGGCACGGCCGATGCGGGCGGCGGCGAGGACGACCGCCGCAGCAGTATCAGCCGCGGTAGCGGCGGCAGCGGCAGCGACAGCAGCAGCGGCGGCAGTAGCGGCGGCAGCAGCGGCGATGACGGCGGCAGCGACAGCAGCAGTGGCAGTGACAGCGAGACGGATCTCCCGGCGCTCTGTGGGCCAGAGGCCCGGCGGCTCGCCCGCTTCGGCAAGCCGGCGGAATTCACCAGCCGCCGCACCAGAGAGAACCCTCGCCGAAACCCGAGGAACGAGTCGCCTCCGTTGCCGACAAGTGCCAAAACCCTGCTCGCCTCGGTGGCGAGCCTGCCCGTCAGTGGCACTGAGGAGTTCACCAGCTGGATGCTCTCAGCGGTACTTCACGTGGCGAAAGGGCTAGAGGCGAGGGCGGTGCGAGAGTTGCTGTCCGAGCGAGCGGAGGAGGACCACGCTGCGCGCCAAGAGGCGGAGGACTTCCTGCTTGGTATGGTGGACCTCATGCTCAACTGGCCAGACGCCTTCGAGATAGACGGCTCTGGCGTCCCACGAGCTAAGTGAATCCCCTATAGGCAAGCGTCCGAGTGAAGTACAACCACCCCCCATGACCGTAGCCGGCATTGCCAAGTCTGTGTACAGAGAGGGGTGGGAACAGGCCATGAGGGAAGAGTTTGAAGGGCACTTGGGCACGGGGACGTTTTCATTCGTAGACGGTGCGCCAGAGGGGCGCAGGCCTGTGAGCTCAAAGTGGTGTTTTAGTTGGAAGACCAAC